AGAGAGAGAGAGAGACAGGGAAGATTTAAACAGGAAATCAACAAGCTGATCGATTACATTAAAGTCAACACATTTCAGTCTTTGTGGCTGTTTTTTTGTCTTTTTGGGATGTGAGTTAAACAATCATAAATATAACAATAATATTTTTTTTATATTTTTGTTTTAATCTGGTTTCTTTTTTCCACTTTATTGCTCAAACATTGTTGGATGATGTCTGAGGAGATTCTGATTTCTGGAACTCGTGTGACCTCTGACAGAAACAGTGTGCAGTCATCAGAAAAGGGTTAAAGCGCTCAGATTGTCTATTAAATGCACTAAAATGATATAAAAATGTCCCATATTTATTTTCTTATTTAGCATTTAATTTTCCACTTTATTAAAGAATTATTGTTATTATGTATTTGTATCTTCTTTGTACCCTTCAGTGTGATTCCAATGGTAAAGTAATGTAATGTAAAGGTAATTCATTAATTACATTTGTTAATGTCTATATTTATTTTACTGTTATTGTTGGTGTATTTAATTACATGTTTATTTATTTATTGGTCTAATCATTTATTTGTTTTTAATTTGGCGGTGTTGGTCCTCCATATGTCTCGCCTTGTTTTCCTCCCTTCGTCCCAGCGACATTTTATCTTCAGGCTGCTATTGGATTTTGTATCAGTTATCTACAATCTATTGATCACCAACTGTTGATTGATAAGCTGGGTTTTACTGCTTTGATTTTATTCCTGTATCTTTTGTTTTTTTAATTTACTTTGTGTAAGTAAACCTTTTTATTTTTAATAAAATATTGATGAGCATTTAGATAAACTGTAGGAGAACAGATCAGAAACAGACGCACAGGACGATTCAAATGAACCGTTCCTGAATTCAATTTGTCTTGTATGTATGAAATCATCAGATCGGTTTTACACACTGCAGAGTGTGTGTGTGTGTGTGTAATAGGAACAAATGTGTTTGTGTGTGTGTGTGTGTGTGTGTGTGTGTGTGTGTAATAGGAACAAATGTGTTTTGTTCTGCTGCTGCGACACACTGGAAACAAAATAAATCTCTCAGATGTTTTTTTCATTTTATTTGAGTGTTGGATTAACACACACACACACACACACACACACTGGCCACCTGTCATTTCCCCTGCCTTTTGTGTGTGTGTGTGTGTACAGGGAAATGAGGGGTTTTGCATATCAAAGATTGTCTGCTTTCATTAGTCAGGAGGACACACAGAGAGCTGAATCATTTTCTCAACTTCATATTTCACTTAGGTCCTAACAGAATTTATTATCATACATATTTTTATGTATATTTAGCACATTTATAGTAATTAATAAATCAGATTTTTATGTATGTATCACTGACAAATTTATATTTCAATAGGAGCAGTTTTTCGAACTGCTTTTACTCTCTTTGTTGTTTTTCTCTCTTTGTGGTCGTTTCTGTCTTGAACACGCAGTTAAAGCTCCAGTGTGTCACATTAATATAATATAATATAACCTAATATAATAATAATATAATATAATGATAATATAATATAACATAACATAACATAATATAATATAATATAATATAATATAATATAACAGAATATAATATCTATAAGTATGTTTTCATTAGTGTTTAATCAGCTGGCAGAGGCGACCATGTTGAACCGCCATGTTTACAGTGGCCCAGAACAGTTTGTGATTTTCACCATTAAGACTTACAGGTACCTAAAACCGGTGTCAGGTGTTTCTGTGGCAGATGTTTGTGTTTATCAGCGTTATATTTAATTGTTTGTCAGACGACATTTGAATGCGCTGACATTTCAAACTAATATGGATGAAGATACAGCAGGAAACTGTAAATGTCAGAGTGATCAGTGTCAGTACAGCAGTGACTCACAACAACACAAACAACGAGTACTACAGACAGAGGACAGACAGACAGGCAGACAG